TTTTTTTTTTTTTTTTTTTTTTTCAGAACTAGGGATTAAACTCAGGCCCTTGCACTTGCCAGGGAAGCACTTATTCTACTGAGCCATCTGCCATCTCTCCGGCCTCACTGGCATACCTTTGACTTTGATGTTTTGTGAGTAAATTTTGTTGGATGTGAAATGGGTAGACTGCAGAAAATTTCCTTCAAGATTAAATATATTAATTATAATGATACACATCCCCTGAATTTCTTCCCAAAACCCCGATTGTATGTACAGAATATATTTATGAAGACTTTGTACTTTCTACATGAATATAATGATTGGCAAAGTGCTTAAGAGTTGTTGAGATTTAAAGAAATAAAACATTCTAAATTTACCCCTGAGGATGTATTTTTAGAGCCTAGCAAAAACAGTGTTCTTTCCCACCAAAACTGAGGCATCTTACGTACTTCTGTTGAAGTCACACACAGAGGAAAAATAGTAGCATGAATTATGAAATGCTGAAATAAACCAATAAATACTCCAATATATTCAGAACGGAATGATTGTTTTCTTCCACCAGATGACAGAAACGAAAGGCTCTAGATTTATCACAGGGCAGGTGTCAGTAGATATGGCATTTGACACTCTTTGCAGTATTACAATTTAAACATACAAAGTATGTCATACATTGGAGGGTGTGACAGCTCAGAGATTCGATCCTTGTCTTAGAGAAAAATAATGCCGGAATCCGGTAGCTGCTCAAAGTTTGTGTCCATTTGGAAATTCCTCCTGTGTCTCCCCTGCCTTGGCTTTCTAATTCCCTCTGTTTTTACATGGCTTCCAGTTTCAGCAGTTGGTGTTTGACAAGAAGGACTTGAGTGGAACCTACTGCTCCTACAGCCCAGGGGGCTACCTTAGCATCCTTTTAACATTGTAACAAAACTGACAAACAGAAGTCAGTGTCAGGGGACAAGTCAAGCAAAATGAAGTCCTTTAGCATGCTCAGATATAGTTCCTATTTTTTCCTTTTTCAAAAAAGAGATCTGGATTCAGTTTCTTAAAAACCAGGAAGCTGTATTTATAGAAACACAGAAACTGTGTTCCATAAAATAGAACAAAGTAAACGAACTAATTGCAAGGGAACAAAATCTTTTCTGTTTTATTTCTTTTTATTTAAAAATATTGTAAACATCCAGTTTACAATACTCCTGGATCAGTCTACTCTCCCTTAGACCTGCTTAGAGAACTCCATGCTGATGTGGCCTTTGGATGAGTAGGGAGGAATCGGATTCCTCAGCCCTGGCTGAGGGAAGGCACGCCTGGAGCTGTGCTGAGTGAGGGGTGGTTGTCACTAAGAGAGTCTTGCCTGCTTTTGCACTCAATGAGTATTTCCTGAGCCTCAATGTCCTCACTATGTGGAATGCTCCACTGGTGCTGGGGGAGTTTAATCACTTGTTTCTCAGAAAATACTTTTTAGGGACCGGGGAGATGGCTCAGGGGAAAAAGCGCTTCCCTGGCAAGTGCAAAGACTTGAGTTCAATCCCTGGTTCTGAAAGAAAAAAAAGAAAATACTTTTTAATATATAGCTGCTGTCCTTGACCTGGAACTTGAGAAATAGCAGCCAACATGAAAGAGCTCACACAGTTATTTAATGAAGGTTTTCCTCTAGGAAGGAGAGATCTATAATTAAAAAAAAATTCAGATATTTTCAGTTATTGCTTAAAGTTAGCAGTAATGTAAAACTGGATGATCCAAAAAGATGAACTAGGAAAGGAATTCATTAAATTACCTACTGTAACTGGAAAATAAATAATCACATTAAGGTGGGATAATTCACTTTAATAGACATTTTTTCAGAAGAAGCATATTGATGACCTACAGAGAATTGCAAAATATTCAACAACATTAATCACCAGTGAACTATAAATTAGAGTTAGAATGAAATATCATATTATGTACATTAGAATGATTTTGATTAAAAGATGAAAAATAATCTCATGTAAGGTGTGGAGAAAAGACATAATTTGTACACCATTGGAAAGAATATAAATTAGTGCAGCCACATTGGAAAATGGTACAGGCATTACTCAAAAAATCAAAAGTAGAATTGTGATTCTGCAGTCCTCTTTCTTGGTATGTATCCTGAAGGAATGAAAGCAGTTTGCAGAAAAAATGCCCATACTCTGTGCTCATTGCTATGATTTACACAATATCTATGATAGAGGTAAAGCTATCATAGATACTGTGGAGAATATCTATGGGTGGGTGGAGAAGTGGATGCATATAGGACAGTATATTACCAAGTATCTTTTTATGTATTTAGTACAGGGTCTACAGTGTCTCACTGCATAGATCGGACTCGTGGTGATCATCCTGTCTCCAGCCTCCCAAGTGCTGGGATTATAGGTGCGCACTACTATGCCCAGTCTCAGCCGCCATCTCAGTGTGCCCTGGCGGTGGGGCCAGCACGGCAGGTCTTGGGGATGAACCCTGGCCACTGCGCTCTACCTAAGCAAGTGCTTTAATTTGTTGAGGTGTCTGGCCAGTCCCCTACCAAGCATTTTTTTAATAAAGAAAATCGTATCATTTGTGACAAACAGGGGTCTCTAGAGGATGCTGTGCTGAGCCAGACAAACCAGGCACAGAAGGATAGACCCTGGGTGATCTCACTGTTACGTGAAATCTAGAATCAATGGAAGCAGTTTCTAGAGCAGGAATTACCAGCAGCTCAGGTGGGGTGTGTGGTGAAGGAAGACATACTGCTGACCGGGTACAGCGTCTACGTGGAAAGGGTGAGTGGGTTCTGGGCCCTGAATCGCATAGCACATGGACTGTAGGAAATAATACACTTCAAAACTGCATGAAGTGCAGACTTTAGGTGTTCATTTTTACTACAGTGAAATGTTAATAGATGGGTGTTGGGTATAGACCAATTTAACCCATCTGCCATATATAAGTTCACACTCTACTCCGTAATTATAAGCATTTTTTCAATAAAAAAATTAAAAGGGAGTAAATGGAATACTGGGAGAAAAATTCCCTTTCTTATTATTTCTCGCTCTTATAATCCATTTACCACACGGTTATTTTGATAATCCTGCAGGATTTTTATATAATCTGATTACTCTGGTGATTTATTGGTTCCCTGTTTTCTATATGAGTTAAACAAGATGTCTATAGGAGATTTGTGAGCTGTGTCTCTTAATTTTTATTATTCCAGGGAATCCAAGGAAAGCCACAAGCCTGGTTCCACCGCTGCATATTTACACCCAATGCCTGAAAGACTCCTTGGAGAGCAACAGACCTTGGGGAGCAGGGAATCTAATTGAGCAGACTTGAGTCAAGGCAGAGATGCAGGCTGCTTGTGTCATTACAGCTCTCTCTGGAAGGACTCTCCTAAGGGCTTGTCACTGGGTTTTACAAACAGATAGGTGAAATACAGTATGAGGTAGAAGGTCATCTTTTTGAGCCTGTGGCAAAGGCTCCTCTGAGCTGTGACTTAGAGTGTGGCATCCTTGGGACTCACTTAGGGAACTGGTCATTGTCCTGTGAGCTGGTCCTCATTCACCTAAATGATCAATAAAGCAATGGGCATTGCAAGGCCTGAGACAGCATCACAGAGTATATTAGGATTGCTGGGGATAAGGCGAGCTGTGATAGAACACAGTGCTGCTCAGGAAAGGAAGCCAGGGCCCAGGGCCTGAAGACATTTCCAGGAAAGATAGAAACGAGATCAAGGCAGCACCTTGTGACCCTGATCCTCAACATATGACAGAGTCCCTCATGGTAGGAAGGAAACACTAATGCTGGAGGCATGAGAGCTGGGCCATGTTTCTGTGTCTCGGTAGAAATTTAATCAGAGAAAGACGACTTTTGTTGTTCAGTTGTGACTGTATTATAAACCTCTAACTGCTCTTCACAACCTGAAACCAATATGGTAACTTTCCTACCCCTCTCCATACGCTGTCAAATTTGTATTTGTGATTCCAAGTTGTCTTGTTGGTTTCCTGCACCGTGGGGTCCAAGACACCTGAGGCTGTGCCTGGTTTTATTTGACCAAATAAAAATATTTTTCCTCTATCACAACCCTGTGCTCAGCACCCAGTACCTAGTAGTGTGCAAAAAACCAATGATGATGACTGTTAGTGCGAACAAAATCTTGCTTACACATCACGGCGTTGTCTCACTGGAACTCAACAGCCAGCTACTTACTGTCAATCCTGAACCCGATGATCGGACTCCCTCCTATGCAAGCTTCACAGAAAGGAGCTTGACAAGGCAATGCGACATAAGAAAATTAACCAGATCTGGCAGCCAGATAGCTCAGCCTATTAAAGTACCTGCCTAGGCAGATGCAGGGTCCAAGGGTTTCATTCCTGGCATACCATGCTGGTCCCGCCCCAGGGGCATGCTGAGATGGCAATTGAGACTAGGGGTGGTGGTGTGTGCCTGAAAGAGCTTGGGAGGCTAAAAACAGGAAGATCACTAGGAGTCCAATCTACTTAGTGAGAGCCTACAGACAGTGTACTAAATACATTAAAAAAAAAAAAAAAGAAAGAAAGAAAAGAAAAGAAAATTAACC